CCTCTGCCATTTCCAGATGAAGGCATTCGTACACGGTCCACAGCCATTCGCAAACCACCACTAAGTAAGCCGACGAAAGCCAGCACTACGCCTAGTGTCCGCCCATCCCGTTTGGCAGTGGCATCACGTCAACCTACGAAGACATCTGAATCATCTGCTGTTGATGATTCTGAATCAGAGGTCGGCGCTAGCAATGCTGGTGCGGTGAAGAGACGTCGCGTTGGCCACGCAACCTCGTCGACGGGTTCGCGGCAGGTGCGCCCTGGGGTACCCGGGAGATCCACAAGTGACCGCACGATCAAGGGGCCTAAGGAGTCTTCCCAGATGAATACCAAGACGAAGACAGTACCTAACTCGGACACCATCCGTGCTCGGACGAGGAACCCACGGTCAACTGGCCATCAGGCAGCAGCATCAATCAGATCAGCAAAGAGGCAGGATGTGAACCAGTCGGCTTCTGAGAGCTCTGTGGGAGAATTTCCTGTATCAATGGGCAGACGTGGTGCGGCTTCAAGTGGTTGAAGGTAATTGGACTCGACGGTTTGTTCACGATTTTAGCTTGTGAGTGCTTATACGGTCGTTCTTATTGTCTTTACTGACCCACAGTCACAGTCTGGGGGGCGGTATTTAGGCACGCATTGTACATATACGCACATACACATCCGGCCTCATTTAAGTATATATCGCACATCATATCAGCCGCCTGATATGTTCCTTTCGAAAATCAGAAGGCGTCTTCCTCATGGTACTGACTTTGGTAACGAGATGCCGCTCGATTGCCTCGCAGATTTTACAAGGGTGAAAATGACTTATCACAACAGGTGCCGAATCTGCCACCCTACAACAGCACTTCCCGTCTGATCCTTTACACGTGAGGGGTCGTATCATGGCCTAGGTTTTAATTTTTACCTCCCGGATCCAGTCAAGAACCAGTGATTCAGACCAAATAACGGAACTGACCGCCACAGCGATCACCCATCCCAGGTATGCTGAGCGATGCATAAGGGCACACTGAGGTTCTCACGGAAGTAGGTATGGCCTCGAAATCTTTTCATACGTCAACGAGACTGACTACCCCCAAAGGTGGATGGTAAACGCGCGCGACGCCTAGAACCCACACATCGCAGTGGCCGTATGCGAATCCTAACGTACGCCCATGATGTGGGCCTTCGCCACAGCAACCCTCCTGTCCTGAACTGATTCTCATAAATACGCCACGGTTGGATTGCTCAGACCACAAACCAGATACCCACCATCATTCACCTCTCCACAAAGCACGACTGGCGACACAATGCTCCGATCCATGTGGAGGGAGCGCGTCAAAACGCTGAACAACGCTCCTCACACGCAACTCTTCGAGGTATGGAACGGCCTGCTGATCCTCCTTACACGTTGATTTATTCCACTATTAGGTGAGCGCCACCGGAACAATAGTTGGTGGTGACATCGCTTCTTGCAAAGGAGCGGAAGACGGGTACCCCGTCGTCTTAAACGGCCTCAAGCCAGGCGTCTGGCACATAACGCTGACGGACAACAGATCAGAGTCTAGAGTTGTGACGATTCGATGGGTCTCATTCGGACCGCTCCACTTCGATAATCTACCCTCTACCCTCCCGAACCCCGTCCTTACGCCGCTCTCCCCGCTGCAGAGGCTTGGCAGCTTCACCGTAGAGGAAGGCATACATGGCCTCTTCGATCGTGAGGGTCTCGTGAACCTCATCCGCGTCGAAAGGAACAACCGTGACTATGTCCTCGAAGCCATCTCCGACTACTGGTTGTGGGGGAAAAATTTAGCCGTCCAAATAGGATTCGTAGGTGAGTTGCATAATGGCCATTTTGCTTCGAGGATCCCGGATGTTGATAACGGGCTCAGTTGGCGGCGTAGATGGACCGTACAGAATTGTGGGTAGAAAACACAACGGCCTGATTGTAGAGCTGTCTGTTATACCCGATCGTTAGCCTGCGCCTGGACGGACGATAGTCACCCGGATTCCCCATTGTATCGATGCTCAATCACCCCGTGTAAATGTAGACATGTAGCCTAATCCCCCTGTCACTTTTTCTTTTGTGACTATCCCGTCACACGCCACCCTTCGCACTGCTGATCTTCAGACACCATCTTTACGCACTTCTGACAAGACCTCGAAACTTGAAGAACCGGTCTTGTCGCGCACGGTGAGATGACGGCGGGGGTGTGGAGAGGATGGAAAACGGACGGGATTCAGTTGAGCTCTGGTAGCTTCGCGGGAGTGTTACGACGGTCAATTCGCTGACCGACAGATCGATGTCAGCTCGCCGCAAGGTTTTAAATTTCAAAATCCTCCTCGTGTCATTCACGCAGCCTATTAGTGTGCCCTCCGAGGGATCAGACGTGAGACATGAGAGCATCGTGCAATACGTGTGTTCTTTGCTTTCTCCATATAGATCAGCGGCCAACTCAATGGTCACGATGCATTCTGACAGGTTGGAAGCAATTCCCAAGCCATATAAAAGACCTTTCTGACGATCCACAGCCTGAGTGCGTGATTCGATGGATATTGAGGTTGAACAAGGGTATTTTCGCCGACTACTCAAGATGTGAACAATCTTCAATTGTATTGAGATCACAACACGTATCTAACTGTGGAACCATGTACGTTAGAGATGGCCCGATCGGCGGGTCCGATTAATGACCGCAAGAACGACGCACAGAAGCAATGACAGCTGGAGAAGATAATCATGCTGATTAATGCTCTCGACTCTCGTGGAGGTCATAATGACGGTCAATGGGTGATCAGAATATCCAGCCTGGAGGTAGTTGATCTAAAGATAAGTATCCGACAGTAAACGGAGGACCGTTTGCCTGCTTCCCAAGTGTGCTGCGACCGTACCGCTCAAAAACGAGATAAACATGAGGGATCACGGATTGTCGCGAGGGTAATACTGGACGGCGTTTGACGCGTCGTGTATGAGATCGTATGGTTCGTTCGAGTGCGCTGAGCTGCCGGTCTATCCTGTCACAGTTGTCTTCAGCCAAGGTGTTGCCGATCAGCGACGTGATGCAACTGCAGAGAAATGACCTCGTTACGACTGTACAGTGCGACCCGGATGAACAAGGAGAACCACGGTGATTCTTCCGCGGCGCATGCTACCTGCAAGTTGATAACTTAAGTCGAGGTATGTAGCTATGTAGTCCATGGTGAAGGGCAATACCACTCATCTTCTATGAAGAAGTACGATCTGATCTGCAGAACGATAATTTCCGATTCACGTATGGCACCAATTGCAAGGATCGATCGAGGACTCGGACCAAGGTGGAGCTGAGCTGCACGACACACGTAATAGTGTCCCTGTTCAAAGAGGATATCATTAGAGAGGACTGTTCCTGCAGATTGAATAAGTGGTGCTGGTTCACTCTTGGTTTGATGACCAGACTCCAGAGCACCGGCACTCTCACGTGGTAAGTGTGCGAGAAAGTGAGCCGGTGGCAGAGAAGTTTGCGCGGTCAATGATGGCTTACCACGAGAAGGATATACCTGTGGCTTAGGCACGATGAGGAAGTAGAATTTCGGGTCTGCCTACCTTGATTTTACAACGAAAGGAACGATCTACACCACCTTCCTAATTTGGGTGGAAAACAGCCCAATCAGGAAGTTTGATGCGACTCTGAAGTCTGACTGGATCTGACTGACAGCATGGCCCTGGAATTGGAATCAGCATTCGGGTTTACAGCAAGCTGACAGATCAGACTCACGGCGCCATGAAAGGGAAGTTGACTCGAAACCTTAAATAACGAGAGGGGGGCATATAAGACGAAGACAGGGTGGCACAATTTGCTCCCTTCAGTCGCAGTCGTACTACACCACTGCCATCGCCATGCCTCTAGGACGGCGACCCTCGCCGTGGCTGCAGAACATTGAGAAGCTCAACAGCAAGCCTGAATTCCAGCTATTCGAGGTATGTCATGGACAGGAACGGCCGGAGCACCCCTGCTGAGTTTGGGGCCAGGTTAGTTCGAGTCTCCCCTAGGCACACCAAAACAGCGACCGAGAAACAAGTCGTGAATCACTGACTAAGAACTAGGTCGGACCAGGTGGTATTCTCCTCGGTGGAGATCTTGAGCTCAGCAAGGGTCCAGACGACGAGTTTGAGGCCCGAATCGAAGGTGTTAGGTCAGGCATCTGGCACACTGTCTTGATATACGAAGACAGCGAGACAAGTGGGTGGAAAGAGTTCCGGCGAGCGACGGCGCAATGGGTCGCGGAGGGACCCTTGGACATCGAGGCTCTTGCTGTCGCATTTCCTGATCCAAACTTGAATCCTCTGACTGCTTGGAAGAAGGTTGGATCGTATTCAGTCGATTCCGGAGCCCATGGGGTCATCGACCAGGATGGTCTCGCTAGCAAGATTGCGGATGCGCATGGCAGCCGCGAATACGTCCTAGAGATGTGCTCTGATGTCTCCAGCGCTGCAAACATGGTCTCTGCACAGATCGGATTCGTCAGTGAGTTCATTTTCTCCATAGAAATTGATTGAAATTCTTATTAACTGCTTGTGTAGTCGGCGGCGACGATGGAGGGTATAACATATGGGCAAGGAAGCATACCGACAAGATCGTCGAGATAATGGTGAGGCCAAATTTTGAGGAAGATGGTGAGGGATTTGAATATGAAGACGCCCGTGATGATCACGGAGAGGATGAGGACTCGGAGGAATAACAAATGAGGCCTCAATTCTGTCCTATGAACTGTCAGTTGGAAAGAATCACACATTGATTCAACAGTCTTTCTTCATTCTACAACTGATACATAACGAGCCATGCATGCAAGACGAAAAGAATTCAAACTTATAACTTATAAACCCAGGCACCCCCAATATTTCGTCCACCTTGACAGCTTGACTACCGCCGCTACACGCTCAACAAAGATCATTACCTACTCTTTCATATACAACGTAGGCCGTGACCAATTGAGACGTCAAAAGTATACTCAGATGATTTTGCTAAAAAGGATTCAAAAAAGTGTCCCAGACAGGATTCGAGCCTGTGTCTTCACAGATATTACGTAATCGCATGGCTGGAATCCTGGCATGCAAATACCACAATGTGATGATCTAACCACTAATCGACAAGGACCAAAAGTTTGGCCGTTCTGAAGATTTTCAGCCTTGTCGAAGCCGAGAGCAAGAAGTGGGCTCCTTGGACTCGGACTTGAGTCAGCCTTCAATTGCACTTTTCTCCGCTATCATCACGCATAGGCTTACAGGAAAATGGCCCCGATACTTTCATCTGTCAACATTACATTTTTGGGTACTGCATCAGCGCAACCGTCCAAAACGCGAAACCATTCGTCTCTCGCTCTGCAACTTGGAACGGATGTTTGGCTGTTTGATTGCGGCGAAGCCACGCAACACCAGATACAAAAGAGCACTGTAAAAATGGGGAGAATATGCAAGGTCTTCATCACCCATACACATGGCAAGGTCAATCATTCGTGTATCGATGTTATTGCTGCTAATCGTTAGTCGTACATACGCAGGAGATCATATCTTTGGCTTACTCCCGTTCCTTGCAAGCCGTCTAAATGGCGCAGGAGGTGTTGCTGAAGGTTTGGAAGACCCACGGCTACTGCAGCAGCTCACAAATGTTGACCCACGAGACGTGAGTGAACATACCGCACCACATCGCAGATGTCTCATGATCGCTATTATCAAGGCTGTTGAAATCTACGGTCCATTGGGCACTCGTGCATACGTCCGAAACGGACTGGCGCATACCTATACCCTCTTAGGAGGTCCGTACGTCGTACACGAACTACGATTCCCCAATGATCCTCAATCGGGGGATCACACGGACATGCCTCTGGGTGCGATGGAGCTTCCATCCGGGCGGAACATCACTCAATTCAACGGTGTTTGGCCAGACATATTCTCTGACGAAATCATCTCCGTTTCTGCCGCACCTATCCACCATTCCGTACCCTGCGTGGGGTACGTTGTACAAGAGAAGCCAGTTCCCGGCAAAGTCGATCCCAAGAAATATATCCCTGAGCTCAAGAGAACCAATTCACCGATGTCATTGATGGCGTCGTTGCAACGGGGTCAAAGCGTTACGCTCTCGGACGGAACCGTCTTGGAAGGCCCGCCGCGCAGACCAGGGAGAAAGATCGTCATTTTGGGCGACACATATGACCCTTCACCAATCGCCTCTCTCGCAGAAGACGCGCACATCTTAATTCACGAGGCTACGAATGCGCACCTCCCAGGTATCGATCCCAATACCAAAGCGGCTGATAGCTACGAGGTACTAGAGGAGCGGAGCAAGTCGAGAGGACATTCTACCCCACAGATGGCTGGTTTATTCGCCAAACGTATCAGGGCGAAGAAACTCATTCTCAACCATTTCTCATCTCGGTATCCTGGCAACGATGACACTGACGAGGAGGCGTCCAAGGTGATGCGGGCTATCGGTGGTTTGGCACAAGAGAAGTTCGGCGGAGAGGTTATTTGTGCGAGAGATTTCATGAGTATCGGAGTTCCTTTGAGCGAGGAAGGTGCTTAATCCAGTCAGGGAATGGCCAGTCTGTATTATAATTCGTACAACTATCTTATCGGCCGTTTTCCAACTCGAGTCTTTGCGAGTTCTTCCATCTTCTGTCTTTTCACCGCGGCAGGCGATCCTGTGTATGATGAAGCCTGCAGCAATCCGTTTGAAGGCCCAGCCTCGTGCCCATCCAATCTGCGTCCGCCATGCTCAGCTTGCGCAGCTACATTAACAGCAACGAAACGCACTCTTGGTCTGAAGATGGTTCCGAGATCACCAGTCGCCGTTTGTTTGGCGTTCTAGGTACCTCAACCGGCAGTGACGGCTGGGCATTGTCCGTCTCGGGGGAGCTACTGCGTAGTGCTGATTGGGGCTCAGAATGTTCGGAAGATACATCGGCAGACCTGTAGCGCGGTCATGAATTATGGGGTCGTCGAACATGAGAGAGTTGGAACTGTACGCGGGTTCCGAGTCCTCAGCATCGTTCAAGAAGTCCTCTTCTTCTTCTTCTTCGCTGGTATCCTGCTCCCTGCGGTACGTATGGTCCATTATAGCAAAGTTCTTTGCGATCTTCAACAGTTCGTCCCATTGTGACGCAGCCGTATAGCGAACAGTCTCGATCTCGTCGCGCGCAGTTTCGCGTCTGCAGTACGGGCATTTGATCTCATCCTTATTGGGGGAGATCCCCTTGAAACACTCTTCGCACATGATGTGCTGGCAAGGAAAGCTTCTCGGCGTTGTTAGTTAAGGGGGATCGGAAGGTGAGATGAACTGACCTAACAGTCTCGTTGACCTCGAGAACTTCCACGCATATACCACATTCCTCATCTGCTTCCAAAGAGTTGGCGGCCATGATGTCACCGAAACGTCGTAACAGCTGCAAGTGACAATGACTATATGCCCATGCAATGCATAGCAAACTTACTGTGCGGAGACGGTATGCTGAATCTTCTGTCTCTAATGTCCCAGCGGCATCATCATTCAGATCGTCTGCCTCCTTCTTGAGTTCCTTTTGACGAAGCTACCAATCCCAGCATCTGGTCTTAGCGAGCGTAATCGCTCAGGTCATGCGGACACTCACCTTCTCGATCGTCTTCTTGTTCTTCCTCTCAGTCTATCAAGGAGGGACGCAAGTCCCTATCAGTGGATACTGTACGACTAATAGGGCCCCCGACCTTTTCGTACTGCTCAATGCGAGACTTTAATGCAACAACCTCCTTCTGGAGCGAAGCAGCGGTAGGCCCAGCTTTCTTCCCCTTTTTAGTTGAAGGCTCATTCTCTGCAGCCTCCGCACGAGCATCGTTCAAGTCCTGCGTTAGACCGTCATTCCTCCGTCTCAGCTCCTTGACCTCTCTCTTCATCTTCTTGAACTGCTTGCTCAGTTGCTCGAGGTGGTTCTGAAGACCGCGGGTTAGATTATTGGGGTTGCATCGAATGGACACAGCACCCCATGCCGTGCATAAGCGCACCAAGTCCCACAGGTACATGTACATACCCCAATACTAATCGCCATTAAATCATCGTCATCTGAGTCCGAATCTGAGGTTTCTTCTTGCTTGACCGCTTTATTAGGCAACTTATCCTTGCTTGAAGACGCTTTCGCGTTGGAGGAGCGTGTCTTCGGACGCATAGTAGCTGATCCAAGCTCAAAACACGCGGTAGTGTGAAGAATATATCGTGATTTCGGCTGAAGGGATATGGTGAGAGCGCCCCTCTGAGATAGCTTTGGCGCCAAGCGGTGAATTCCGAGGGCGCCTACAGCCTTGAACAGCCTGAGCTGCACTCACGCCGAACCTTTCCTCATTACTGCGTCCACCATGCCCGTTCCTTGGGAAGCTCTTATTCCTTTCGGTGCGTCGTTATGGTAATTTGCGCCAAGTTTGACATACTGATCAGCTGCCCCTACTGCATAGGTCTGTTGACCACCATGTTTGCGGCGGCTGGAACATTGGTGAATGTTTCCAAGCGTGCTCAAAACCAAGGAAAGGTATGTTTGCAGTTCATCTTCCACAAGGAGCTTGTGCTCAATGTATTCATTCGTTTTGTGCAGCCTGTGCGATATGGTATTGACCCGTGGGATGAGATGATGATGGAGAGAGACAGACGGTTGACCGGGCATGTGCGAGGGCAGAGTGTGCGTGTCATATATTCTCTTCAATGGGTCTTCATGCTGAAATTATGTTCGAATAGACTGAACCAATTGCTCCTGAAGGCTTTGCGACAAGTAGCGCTTGGTACACCGAGAAGACCTCCATATAATCCTAGAACAATTCTGTATCGCATTTCCATCCCCATCGTTTCCATTTCATGCTTTCTTAACCTCAACAAACTGGCCACGAACAGCAGGAGCGCCAACAGGGTTGAATGAAGGTATCATCTTCGCCTCAAGTGCTACATGATCTCAACCAAGGAGTGGTGCAACCACTCCCCCAATTCTCCATGCGTGGCAAGCTCTCCTTGCTTCCACGGCAACCTTTCCTTCGACACATCCTCTCCAACAAACCCAAACCTTCGTCCTTTCAACCACTCAGACCACCTCTGCATATTCTCCGAATACTTCTCAGCTCCGTCAGTGCATGCAAACGCACACTCCAGTATGACACCATGTTTCGAGCGTAATTCCGCAGACTGTCCAAAACGTGTGAGTAGAGTTGACGTTGCTGGCTGAGAGAGGCGGCACGTACGATTGTTCCCAAATCGAACGTTTGCTGGAATGTGTACGTGAACTCTGGGGTTTGTCCATATTGCCAATCCCACGTCTTTAGCTCTTCCATCCCGCGGTGAATGTACTCAATCCCAGTCGACGTACTATTCTCCTCGACGTATTGCACCTGTCAGAAACATAAGAAAGGTCTCAAGGTGTAATGAACAATCGACGATACCTCCTCGTCGACGTCTATGTCGTAGTCCAGTCTGAACGCTCTGATCACCCCGTTCACGAACTTGTCATGGGTGATATCACCAGAGTACTCCCGCAGGTTCACCACAGGAGAGCGCACGGACTCGACGCCCTTCGTCTTCATCATCCCCTACAACCCACCACTCAACTAGTCAGCTCACCCGCCCATCCTCATTACACAACCAAAACGTACCCTCCTCGGGGAACTCAACACCTTCCCCAAACTTTCCAACTTCGAATCAATCAACATAGTCCCATGATGATACGCCCTATTGTTCACGATTTTGTACGCACTCCCCGAGACCTTGCGGTTCTCTATGACGAAATCATTCCGGTCGTTCACAGACACGGGTATGTCGCAGTAGTGCCGGAGTGCTTCTTGGATGGTGCGCGCTGTTTGTCGGCGGTCGAATGAGGTGCGGGAGGTATGGATAGAAAAGTTCGTGTTTCCCAGGTCCTGTGTGTATCTGAGAGCATGAGTTTAGCAATTTAAGGAAGAGCAGGGGGGGACGTACGTGGTAGACTGCCCCACCACCGCTACGACGCCGAAGCCATGGTATGTCTCTGGCACGAGCCTCTGAAAGGTTGACCTCCGCCCATGGGTTCTGGTTTCGTCCGATCACCACGCATGGTGAATTCCTGTATAAGAGCAGCAGTGGCTCTTGAGGGTTTTTGTGTCTGAACAACCTTCCGT